TTTGATTGTAGTGTCGTTTACCGAGTAATCGGGAAGACGTACTGCTTTTGACCTGTGAGCCTGCTGAAACTGAGGACCGTAGAATACCAAACCCATCTTGGCCTTTTAGGTGTAGTGCGGAAGCTATGACGGAGTAATCCAGAAGTAGTTATCACGCGATACTATGCTCGGACGAGTCTTTCTTGATAACATTACTAATTACCGAGTTAATCGGGAATTTGGTAATATCCGAAGGAAGGATGTAGACTCTGGGAACCTCTAGAACCTTGTTCAGCAGGTGAAAACTTTTTAGACCAACACCTTATGGGTAGTACCTTCGACCTCATGCTCGTGACGTTGAACCTATGAACCCTATATGTGTGATCTTGTGTGTGATTGTTGCATCATGCATCCATGCACTCATAAGCATCTTTTGAAGAAAACAATATTTCAAGGGATTTAAAAGTTTACTATTGGTGAATATCTCAGGTACTTTTAACCATGGATTCTGGAAAGAGAAAGACCGGGAAATACAGTTTCAAGGATCCTAAGATAGATGAGTTGGTCAGTCTAATTCCAGAGATCGAGTGTTCTGCAGACTTTCGGAAGAAGTATGGATCCATTATTCCTCTCATGAAGCTGAAGATGAAGGAGGGTATTCTCTTGACCTTGGTCCAGTTCTATGATCCGATGTACCATTGCTTTACTTTTCCTGATTATTAGTTGATGCCTACAATGGAGGAGTATTCTTATCTATTAGATTTACCTGTTACTGATCGTGTTCTTTTACTGGTTTGAAGGGTGAGCCAAAACCACATGAGATTGCTTCTTTGATTCATCTGGGAAAGTCTGAGGTGGAAGCCCATATGACTACTAAAGCAGGAATTAGAGGATTACCAGTGCAGTTGTTATTGGAGAAAGCTCGTTACTTTTCCAGAATGAAGAGTACAATTGCTTTTGAGGCCATCTTTGCTTTACTTGCTTACAGATTGTTCTTATTTCCTAATGTAGACAAGTTTGTCGACATTAACGCTATCAGGATTTTCATGATTGGAAACCCAGTTCCTACACTGCTGGGTGATGCTTATTACTCTATTCATCTTCATAGTTCTTATCACGGGGGAATGATTATCTGTTGCACGCCTTTGTTGTACCGGTGGTTCATCTCTCATATGCCTCAGTATAATTCTTTTTGGGATGTCAAGAAGGAACCCCGTTGGGCTCCTAAGATCATGGAACTTACTCACTCATATATTGATTGGTATGATCGAGCTTACCATGATGTGGAGATTATTGACAGTTGTGGTAGTTTCCCCAATGTACCTCTTCTTGGTACAAAGGGAGGAATTAACTATATCCCTGTTCTGGCACGGCGACAACTTGGTTACCCGATGAGGGATAAACTGAATAGTATTCATTTGAGTAGTTTCTTTCTGAAGGAAAGAGAAGACCATAGGGAAGCTAGGGAGCAGATTGCGAAGGCCTGGGGTCACATTCATAAGAAGAGTAGCAAGGATTTGGGACCTAGGGGTGCTGTTTCTTTGGAGCAATATCTTCAGTGGGTCCGATCGAGAGTCATTCAGTTGAAGATGCAGTATACTCGAGAGACACCCATGCCTGATCTGTTTGTGAAGACCACTCCTCCCTTATTAGATGATCTAGAAGAGCTGCAACTTGCTTTGGTTAGGATGCAACAGGAAAGGGATGCTTGGAAGAACAAGTTCCAGACTTTAGAGAGTTCCTACAGAGCAGACTTGAAGGAGAAAGACGACTTGATCGAGATCCTTGAGAGTCGAGCGGTGGAGTCTATGGAGAGGTAAGGGGATTTATTTTCCCCTAAGCCTCAAACAGGTGCTGATTATTCACTTACTGATCCAGATGATTGGAAAGAGGTTGCCATCAGACATGTGGAAGAAAACCAGAGGTTGAGGGCTCAGATTGTCAGGCTCACAGGGAAGCGCCAGCGTACAGATTGATCTCCATCAGTTCTTTTTCTCAGGATTTTAGATTGTATTTTCATCTTGTACTTGGGATCATTGAAACTTGTAATCCATTTTGGAGTTATTATAATAAAATTTTGCAGTATTTCAAAAGCTTTATTACTTTGATGTTTGCAATATGTCTATAAATCTTAAATCCCTTGAAATATTAAATAACAAAATAAAATCATGTGAATTACATATCATGCATCATATTGCACATATTTCTTGCATTTATTATGCATATCCAGGTGCCTTACCCTGCTTCTTTACTTCATTCAGCAAGCTGACTCATCACTACAACACTCAGACTAATTTCAAAAAGAAGACGGATAACTTAGAACAGGAGAATCGCGAGCTACGCGAAGAAGTTTCTGCTTAGAAGGCCGGCTTGGCCAATTTGACTACTCTGATGGAAGCTCTGGTGGTTGCTCAGAATCATCCACCGAGTGTTCAACCTCAACCAACAAGCGCAAATACTGAAGTTACGACTGTTCTTGTGTCTGCTACTCCGGCTGTTGTTCAAAACCGTATGCCTCAAGGTTATCCATGGGGAATGCCGGAGAATTTTGCACCTGAAGGTTTCAATCTTGGCCCTTAAGATGCTCCAGTGGTTCAGACTGTTGTTACTCCGACACCTCCTGTGGTGCATATTGTTCATGTTGCACCTCCTTCGGTGAATTTGGTTCCGTTTGTTAATGAAGATGTGTGTCGTCCTTTCCCTCCGCTGAGTGAAGACTTGGGTGTTTATGACAAAATGAATGATTTTCAAGAGCAGTTTGATAGAATGCAAAGAGAGGTGAAGGCTCTTAGGGGAAAAGAGCTATTTGGGCAAAATGTGAATGAGCTATGTTTAGTCCCGAATGTTAAGATACCTGCTAAGTTCAAGGTCCCGGAATTTGAGAAGTACAAGGGCAACACTTGTCCTCATTCTCACTTGGTGATGTACGTAAGGAGAATGTCTACCCACACTAATGATCAACGTCTGCTGATTCACTTTTTTCAGGATAGTTTGACCGGCGCAGCGTTGAAATGGTATATGAGCTTGGACAATGCCGACATCCATACTTTTAATGTCTTGGGAGAAGCATTCATCAAACAATACAAGTACAATGTGGACATGACGCCGGACTGTGACCAACTTAGGGCCATTGTTCAAAAAGACAGGGAATCGTTCAAAGAATATGCACAGAGATGGCACGAAGTAGCTGCCCAAGTGATTCCTCCCATGGAAGAAAAGGAGATGACTAAGATTTTTCTGAAGACGCTAGGAGCTTTCTACTACGAAAGGATGGTAGCAAGCGCACAAAGTGATTTTACAGAGGTGGTAGGAATGGGTGTCCGCTTAGAAGAGGCTGTAAGAGAAGGTCGTTTGACGAAGAGTGAAGGATCCAGAGGTGTGAAGAAGCCATCTTATAGGTTTACCAAGAAGAAATAAGGGGATACAAATGTTGTTATACAAGAGAGGAGGGAAAACTCTCCTAGAAGGAATTATCAGCGTCACCAGCAAGTCGCCTCAGTTACTCCTGTTATGAATGCCGCTCCGACTACCGTTGCTTATCAAAGACCGTCCCAGCAGGGGAACCAAGGGAATAATCAGAGAAGGGAGAACTATGACCCTATTCCTATGAGCTATGCAGAGCTACTACCGGCATTGATTCAAAATAAGTTGGTCCAGACACGACCACCTCTCGTCATACCATCACCATTGCCTTGGTATTACAAGGCAGAGAAAACATGTGCTTTTCATCAGGGAGCACCAGGGCATAGTGTTGAGAATTATTATCCTTTGAAGACTGAAGTGCAAAGGTTGGTGAAGTCTGGAATTCTATCTTTCAAAGACATGGGACCTAATGTGAAAGACAATCCTCTACCCAAGCACAGGGGAGTAAATGCTGTAAATATGGTGGCCGGTTGTCCAGGCGACTTCCAGATTTTTGACATTTATCTGGTTAGAGGAGATTTGGTGAAAATGCATGCAGACCTCTGTGAATTTAGCTACTATACGCATGGCCACGCTGGTTGTGCTGTTTGTAATACAAACATACAGGGTTGTGAGAAGATAAAGGCTGATTTACAGGAGATGATGGATGAGGGTTTAATCCATATAATCAGGCCTAGGGCAGAGTATGAAGAGGAAGTGAATATGGTTTCTTGATGTCCCAGTGAATTCAGAATTTTTGATGTGGAGTATGTAGCGGTGAAAATCGGAGATCAAGCTATTAATTAACTTGACTCGCAAAAGCAAGAGTCGCCACCGCGCTTTATTATTTCCAAGGGAAAAGGGAAAAGAGCGAAATAAAACCCTATAATATGCAATGTAAAATAATACTTAAAAATAATAAAAATACAATGCGTTTTAAAAGAGATCTAAAGTTCGGGGGTTGGTTATACAATGGGAAGGTATTAGCACCCAATGCATCTGCGGTACTCCGCAGGAACCTTTTGAAATATCTGTTTTTGGTTAAAATTGTTTGTTTGAATAAAATGGTTCGTTTGGCTAAAAATCGGTGTTGGAGAGATTGTGAAGATACGACGACCTAGTGTCGAAGTTTTGACTTAAAAGGTGTGAGTTTAAAAATGGAGTCTTTTGGGAAAATTATCTTGAGTTTGGAAAAATAGTAAACAAACAAAAAAATGAATAAGGGTATTCGCACGATTGTAGAAGATGTATTTGATGACATGAAGTCAGCTGAGTTGAAACATTTCACTTGGAATTGAGCAAACAAGCGAAATAAGATAAACGTCAAATTACAAATATTCGAAAATCCACAAGGAAATAAAACAAATAAATGTAACTAATCATCTAAAAAAGTTATTTGAACTAAATTGAAAAAATTAAGATTACTTGTTAAAATAATTCTAAACTAACTACAAATTCTAAGGCTATAAAAAAATAATTCTAAAATTACTAAATTAGATCTAAACTAAATTAAAATTTTAAAATTAGTAAATTACATTTAAATTAAATCGAAATTATAAAGGCATTAAATTAAATCTAAATGAAAACTCTAAAATTATTAAATTAAAACCTAAATGAAATTAAACCTAAACCAAGTAAAATTCTAAAGTTATCAAGTTAAAATCTAAATCAAATAAAAATACTAAAGTTATTAAAGCTCTAAAATTACTAAATTATATCTAAACTAATTTAAATATAAACTAAGTTAATTATAAAATCACTAAGTTATAAAATTAAAATTCTAAAGTTGTTAAGTTAAATCTAAACTAACTTAAATTTCTAAAGTTACTAAAATAAATCTAAGCTAACTAAAAATTCAAAGGTTATCAAAATAATTCTAAACTAACTAAAAATTCTAAGATTATTAAATAATTCTAAATTGATTCCATGGTTAAATTACTTGACTAAAACAATGCGATTACTAAATAATTTTTACTAACTAAACTAAATAACTAAAACAAATAAGTTAAGAAATTAAAATTAAACTAAAAACAAATTTTTAACAAAGGGGTGCAAGCAGAGTATAAGGGGTATATTGGTTAGTAAACAAGGTGCTTGTGCAAAGAAACCAACCTCCAAAGGTCTAGTACATAATAAAACCAAAGTAACAGCAACCATAAGCTTGTCAGCAACAGGATCTAAGAATGCACCAAATGAAGATTTTAAATTCATCTTGCGAGCAATATAACCATCAAGCCAATCAGTAACAGAAGCAGCAATGAAGATTGTGGTAGTAGCTACTGTTCCTCGCCAACCATCCATATAGAAAGTAGCAACAAGAAGCGGCACGGCGGCGACACGGTAGAGAGTGAGAATGGTGGACATCGAGATCTTCTTCTTCTTCTGCTTTCCCTTTGTTCCTGAAAAAAAAAGAACACAACAACTTTGTACCAATTGTTATGTTGCGTCACCGGAGGAGAACGCGTGGATGGTAGTCTGCGTGGTGCTGGAGACATGGAAGGGAAATGGAGGAAACCGGAGAAGAAGATGAGGAAGAAGGTGAAGGCAAGCATGATGGAAGGAGTTGATGGGTCAACGGTGGCTGAGCCAAAACAGAAGGGACTGCAGCTTCCGTAGAACGAATAGGAGCAATATCTTTAAAGCCAGAAATTGGAGGTTTCCATTCACTCCTCTTCTTGAATTGGATGGAAAAATGTGAACTTTTAGGGGGGGTGACTGGGGTTTATGAAAGGACCGTATGAAGGAGGGTTGGTCGGGGACACTGCTCCAAATGTTGCTACACCATGAAAAAGCACATCCTTAGACCCGTGGGAGTTCCAGTGTTTAAAAGATGATCTAGCTGCAGATAGCAATGGAGGTTCCAGTGTTTTACCATGTGCACCAAACTTGATCATAAATACCAAGTAAGACAATATAAGCATCCATTTCAGCAATAAGCCTTGGACCTTTTTTAATATATCGATTAACATGACCGACGCCGTTGATTGCTCCGACCGGTACAGATCTACACAAAACTCGAAACAAATCAACGACACTATGAACAAGAATCTGCAGAAGGTGAAAATGAAGAACGATCGAAACACAGAACTATCATTGATGAAAGAATTTCAAGCAGAGTGAATAACAATAAGCTCGGAGTCAAAGTTTCCATAACCGAGTCAACTCGGAGAATCGCGATTGTAAAGTGGTAGCAGTTAGTTGCGTTGTTCCAACTGCCATGGAAATGGAATACAAGTAGAGGCAGTTTTTTTGTGATACTGTGTGAAATGAGGGTAGCGGTGGGAATGAGGGTGAGAAGGAAATTTAGTGACGGAGACGGTGATTGAAGGGGATGGTGATGTAACTGAGGATTCCTGGATCTCAGAGCAGAACCAATACACACTATAACTTCTCTTTAATGTGAGGATGAAGAAGATGAAGGAATCTTCGTGAATCCTCGAGAGATGAGAGAGAATCTCTAGCTTGAAGATGAGAGTGTGAGAGAGTTTTTTGGATCGGTTTCTCTTTGAAGTTTGCTACCACCTCTAACTTAATGTGTAACCATTTTTGCAGCCGAATGATGAGAAGCTCTTTTATAGGGTGGTGGGCGCGTGGTTGTTTAAGAGTTTATCTTGAATCCAAGAGAGTGAGTGTCAAATATTTTTCAATGGGTATGTTGTTATTGGTGTTGATCTTTGAATGAGTATAAGGAGAGTGGGAGAATAGAGAGTTAAAGAGAGGAAATGATGATATGCTGAAAAAAAGAGAAGAGTACTGTGTTGCTTTTTGTTTTTTTTTTGTATCAATCCACCACTTTTGCTAACAGCCAATGAGAGCATAGTATAGTGTAATCAATATATTTTTGTGACAGAAACGCCCCTGAATAAAATAAAACCTGAAAGTATAAAAAAATAACTCAATTTAAACTAATTTTTTTGAATTTTTTCTGAATTAAAAATAAAGACACAAAATGACCGAAAACGATAAAAAACGAACGAAAATTATCCGATAAAATAAAATGAACACATTAAAATAAACTACATGTCACGAAGATTAAAGAAAAAAATATTCAAGAAGTCAAAAATCAAAAATAAAATAATAATAAAAATATCAGACTAAACAGACGTTTAAGGTTAAAAACGAGTCTTCGAACTGTACCGAAAAAATAAAGCGAGCATACCGTCATGATCTACGCGAAACGCAGATTCATAAAATGATCGGTAAAAGGTGAAAACTTGAAATATTTTCTCGCTAATTTCCCGCATAGTGTCGAATCGCTTTTAACAGTCGGTCTATAAAACCAAAATATTTTTATTATTGACATATAAACAACTTGGAGCAATGCAACAAATGAGTAAATAGATAAAAATGCATGAAGCAAAATGCCGGGTATTTTACAACTGAAAGACGATGCAAACTTTTATTTAAACTGACTTTTTCTGATCAACTTAAATACGACTAATGATGCAAAATGTGATGAATGAAGATATTTACTAATGATTGTGACCAAATAACAAAATATGATATGAAAGTGCGACTAAAACATATTAGGGGCGAAATTAAGGGTGCAATGGTGTGCCTTGATGAATCAGTCTTCAAGAATCCACAATCAACCGTACCTCGGGCTTGGGAGACTCAAAACTTTAATTGGTGCGCGACACCTGATGCTCTTGATTCAGACCTGTCTCTGCACATGACACAAAAGAAAACATGAACATACACCTTTGTATGCGATTAGAAATTAGTGATACATAGGCTCAAAATGTTCAAAACACTTGACAATCTTCGCATAGTCAATACTTGAAAGTGAGAGGTTAAAACCGACCGTATTTCGTGACCTTGACTTATCTTAAAAAATGCAAAAATAAAAATGGGATCTTAGGTAAAAAATTGGGGTACAACAGCTGCTCCTATTTAAGTTTCTTCTATCTGGAGATATGAAGATTGGGATCTTCATTTCGACGAGATTGAAGGGACTTAAATATAGAATACACAATTTTTGGCCTTAAGATACCGCGATTATGTTCATGATATGATATGAATGTAATGCTCTGAATTTTATGGGGAATGACGCCATATGAGACAGACTATGCTGGAGAAACCAAGCACATTATACAATAATCCCACAGAGGAAGAGGTTGTAACTCCACTGGGGAAACAAAGTCATAGACTTCAAATGAGAGACTCTTGAATGATCTACATCAGTATTGGGACTGGAAAAGGTAATGATTTACAACAGTACTGTGACTGGAAAAGGAAATGATGGACATCAGTACTGAGACTGGAACATGATTGACATCAGCACTGTGGCTGGGAAAGAAATGATTTACATCAGCACTGTGGCTGGAAAACAAAATGATTGACATCAGTACTGAGACTGGAAAATGATTGACATCAGCACTGTGGCTGGAAAACAAAGTGATTGACATCAGCACTGTGGCTGGAGATAAACATCTCTGATTTCTGAATTTTACCAAGAACGGTAACACATTTCTTCTTTAACCAAGATATCGCTTGAAAAGGATAAAATAACAAACTTCCCCACGGGACTTTTCCGAAGGGGATGCCATTTGCTGAGTAGACATTATTGTTGGGGATACACAAGCTGCTCAAATAAAGAGGCCGCCACTTGCTTCCTTTCAAAGGTGTCAATAACATACAAGCTGCTCATGAAGAGACCGCCACTTGCTGTCTTCAAAGAATATTAAAGCACACAAGCTGCTCATGAAGAGACCACCACTTGCTGTCTCCAAAGAATATTAAAGCACACAAGCTGCTCATGAAGAGTCCGCCACTTGTTGCCAAAACCCACAAGCTGCTCATAAAGAAGCTGCCACTTGCTGTCTTCAAAGAACAATAACACACAAGTTGCTCAAATAGATAAGCTGCCACTTGCTATCTTCCAAAAATACTAACATACAAGCTGCTCATGAAGAAGCTGCCACTTTCCGTTTTCAGGGGAACAAAACACACAAGTTGCTCAAATAGATAAGCTGCCACTCGCTGTCTTTCAAAAATACTAACGTACAAGCTGCTCATGAAGAAGCTGCCACTTGCCGTTTTCCGTACAAGCTGCTCATGAAGAGACCGCCACTTGCCGTTTTCAAAAGGGGTTGATAACATACAAGTTGTCCATGAAGAGACTGTCGCTTGCTGTTTTTCAAAGATAACAATAACACACAAGTTGCTCATGAAGAGACCGCCACTTGCTGTTTTCTCTAAGGTAACAATAACATACAAGTTGCTCATGAAGAGACCGCCGCTTGATGTTTTCAAAGGTGTCAATAACATACAAGTTGCTCATGAAGAGACCGCCGCTTGATGTTTTCAAAGGTGTCAATAACATACAAGTTGCTCATGAAGAGACCGCCGCTTGCTGTTTTTCAAGAGAACAATAACACACAAGTTGCTCATGAAGAGACCGCCACTTGCTGTTTTTTGAAAAGTGTTGATAACATACAAGTTGTCCATGAAGAGACTGCCGCTTGCTGTTTTCTCAAAGATACCCATAAAATATCATGAAGATATTGCTGGAGGTGAGAATCAATAATTTCATCGAGGATGGACAAACTGCTCATGAAGAGGCCACCATTTGTCGTAAAGAAATCCGAAATAATCGAACTGCTCAAATAAAGAGTCAGTCGCTTGTTGTCATGTCGATATTCCAGAAGAAGGTTGTGATATCACTGCTGGGGAATAAAGTTCATCTTCAATGGGGAACCATGAGTAAATCCTTCTTGAGGAGACCAATTATTTACGTTGCAAAATAAATGCACTCTCCATCTAGGTTTCACAGCCTAGAGAAATCCACAGGGTATCGTTCACAAGAGACAAAGCTCAATCCAAGAATAAACTGGGGAGAAAATAGTCAAACAATACTCCACCCAATGAGGAAACAACTCAAATGGGGGTTTATCCTATCCAGAGATAGAAAAGGAAGGCTAAAGCAAGATTCTTCCACGAGAGTTAACTCAGTGGGGAATTAGAAAACAGGCGCACTTTCTGCTTAAGTTGACACTCTATTTGGAAAGATCAAATACGTTATTTGAATAGACACAACCAAGGTGTACGAACTCAATGACATCAACAAATACAACTGTGCGTGCATGATGCAAGTGTGAATGAATAAATGAATGTCATGTATATGCTGACAAAAACGACAGGGGAGATGGACAGAAGATGATAAGACATCATAGTACAACCCGACACTCGGCTAATCTCAACAGGATGGGAACATTACTGGAGATAGAAAACAAAAGCCATCATTGGAGCAAAGTCCTTTTACAAGGCTTAAATCTCTTTGGAGAGGAAGATATTTTCAGGTAGAAAACCCAAAGTCTAGTCTTCTATTGCAAACAATCCATTGAAAGGATAACAACACAAAC